AAAAACACTGCCTTGCCCTTCTGGTATTAATCGCAGCTCCTTACAAATGTGGAAAGGCTCACTGCAGAGCTCAAAATCACAGATTTTCCCCCACAAACATCTGACACCAAATAGCACATAAGAGATGAAGTCTCAAATTGAAAGCTGACGTCTCTAGCTGTCCAGTCTCTGTTCTAGTCTCATTATCTGCTTCAATAAATACAAAGAAAAATAAATCCATCTTTAAATACCACAAATGTTCAGCCTCAGAGCCAGACAAGAAAAAGTCAGGGAATTAACAAAGTCATTAGGACTTATCCTTTGTGGTTCAGGAACATGTGTCCAAAATCAAATTGCAATCCATCCAAGACTTGCTGAGAAATATGGGAGGCCAACTGATGTGCATTACCATCTCCGCAGTCACTGCTTTTCCTAACAAAAGAAAATACTCTATTAATTTAAGAAGAGATGGTCACTTCATTATATTGCAGTACTTTTAACTGTATTTTTGCAAAGATGGCTGCACACACAAACTCAGACACCACAGCTGTACAGAAACCTTACCTGCTGTTTCTCACGTTTTAGGACTGAGGAACTAAAAGGAGAACAAATACCTTCTTATGGACTTCAGATCCTTAGATAAAGCGTTCCTTCACTCAGTTCTTTCCTTACTTCCTAATCTGGAGCCTGCAGTAAAACTTTCCTTATTTTCAAAAACACTTCACCACTACCACATGCTAAAAACATAAAAAGTAATATATAACACACTTTAAAACAAGTCACATTATCTGTAAATGAATAAATACAAAATATAAAGTTATTAATACTAATTAATTATGCTAAACCTTTACTGTTTTTACATGTTTAAGTTGGAGAAGTCATATTTATCTGCAGTAGTTTAAAAAACTTCAGGTGTTATTTCTTTTCCAGATACGAAGATGAGATGGTGTTTGGGAAGTGATTTTCAACTTATTAATGTTGCGTAGCACTTTTTCACCTCCTAGATTATTTATTGATACATTTTAATAAAGAGATTTTTGCTCTTTGATCTTTTCATGCCTGCCTGCGTGCCATGTTTAATATTCCTGTAAGGACTTCCAGCAGTGTTTATGTGATCTTCTATGAATAAAAGAACCAGTGCAACGTAACTTCAACTTGACTTTTCAGCTTTAATGGATGAAACACACTTTAAAATCTAAGGTAAGCATCTCACCTGACACTACCATGTGTCTCGGTGATTTTGATTTATTCATTTATTCATTGGTTAGATGCAAATCTGTGTCGGCTCAACTGAAATGGTCTGTTGCATAGACTAGGTAGTTTTTTGAACTTGAAAGCCTGTTTCAGAATAGTGATGGCCTTGTATGATAAGATTAGTGGTAACTGGGTAGTTTTTAATCTAACATGAACATTTTCACCCACTAGTGCTCCTTTAGACTTTGTTTTGTACCAGGGTGATGCAGCTCTGATTCACTTTTATAAATATTTTTGTGTTTTTACAGTGTGATATCGCTCTTACCCTATGTGTGGCACTAAAAGCTGAAGATAGCTCTATATTTTTACTCAGCTTTTTCGCACACAGGCACAGTTAATCCCATGCAGTTTCAATAAAAGCACATGGTTCGCACTAATGCTTTGATCTCTTCTCTCCCCATCTCATGCTGTTTTGAGAAATGGGTCCCAAAGTTACATAAACGTACTTTCTGTGTTTGACCATACCCCACTGCTGATGTATGTACCCTATGTGTGTGTGAGTACTGTTTACCCTGACTTACAAGGCAAGCCCTCTATCCCAGAACTCTATCAAATCTCTAATAATTTGAAACTGGTTCATCTCCACTCAAAGTCAACCAGGAATCCAGCTGCTTCACTGTCTGGATAAACAGGTTCGGAGCACTGTGGAATGGCTCATAAAACCTTTGCCAATCCCCTCTACAATCCCTGCTTTGCTCCCCACATGAGTTTTGAAAGAGTTTGGCATTCCCCTGTAAAGAATTCTTGAAGATCACAGGAGACTTCTCTGTGTCGATTTTTGTTTTTGTATAAAACAGTATAAAATCTGTACAGTGATACGGATGTAGTTTCTACAAAATCTATTTACCAAGGCTTCTGCATTTTTCAAGAATAGGGCTGAGACACGTTGGGGTGGCTTCGATTGAATAGGTTCAGTTTGGCTATTCACACTGTTCATCCTGAATTAAAGAACTTAGACATCAGAGAATACGTAAAACACAGAGTGAATTCTTCATCTGTGGGGGAAAGGGTATAATTTCTGGATAACTTGAATAAACTTGGGGAAAAAAAGTACTTTCCCTTGTTGCCCCTGTGCTATCATGCACACAGTTCAAAAGCAATACGAAAATCTCTGATGTTGGACTGCCATCTGCTGAGCAGTTTAGGTAAAAACCTTTAACCCCATTGTTTCTGTCTGACTTTTTAAATGTTCGTTGATCTTTTACAATGAAAAACAAACATTACTGGAACTAGCCGTTGAATATGAAGATTTTAACTGCCGTGAATTTAAATTTACTTACAACTAAACACTTTAGATTCATAACTCTGAGCTTTCAAATTTACATGTAACGTTACATGATGAAAGGATTACAGCGCCATCTCATACATCCCCATCAACACACTGCTGTCTTGAAAATTAGCCTCTGTACACCACCACACTGGATTTTAAAGGAAACAATCAAGATAGGATTAAAGTGCAGACATGAAACCACTTCAGCTGCATTCAGTAATCTTTTAGGCTCTTTGGTGTTTACTGGCCAGTGCATTTCTTCTTTGTAAGAATGCACGTATCTTAGATATGACTGTTCCTGAAGTTTAGGGGTTTTTTCTGTCTTTGTGACAAGTTTATTTTAGTTTTTCCTTCATGTGCGCCAACATATCTTTGGACCCTATACTGAGAGTTCCAGTGAACTCCTACCAAATAAATGTTCAGCATTTAGAATCAACTCCATATCCTTCATCTGCTTAATTCATCAAGCGAACAGGTTTCATCTGGCTATGAAACATGTCAATGACATTTTATTCTGAATTTCAGTCACATCTGGAATAGTGAAATTGTGACATTGCCCAAATGAACACTGCTCCCACCTCCAATTCAAAAACATATAAGATATTAGAGATTGCAATACATGTTCAAACTTAGCCACACCTCTGAGATGTCAATCATGAATATTTAAATAGCCAAAATAATACTGCACATTAAGGATATGACTTATGGTTATAGTAATGAGGTTTTATAGCCAGTAACATCTTAATGAGCTGTTATTTCAGAAACAAAACAGTAGCCAGACATTAGCAAGTACATGCATCTCATTTCCAGTTTTAAGATGCTACAATGTACCTTTGGTCCATATACAAATGAAGATACACCAGAAGAGTCAAAATTATATAGTAAAGTGCATACTTTTGATGGAGAAAAAGATAGATTCCCCCAGAATAATACATGATGAAGAAAGATTATTCGCAATAGAAGACATGCTAATTAAAGTCATTTATTATCCTCACTGATGACACAGTCTTATCAGTGCTCATTTACAAGCACAGCACAGGGCCATCTCATATACAGCGTAAACATTTCCTTGAACAGAATCGGATTAATACTGCTACCTAAGTCTCTGTGAGAGACACATCCAAGACTGCTAAACAGAGGATAAATGGCATGATGTGAAATACCAATTTGTGTAGCTCATCAGCTGTAGGATGTTTGGAGTCCATTATCCTGGGTTCAACTTTAGAAACAAATGTAACAGAGGGGCTTAAGGAATGCACATCTTCTGTTTGGGCCATGATGGTAGTGTAGCCATCTCTTCATAGGTGCAATGACAATTTAACCCCCCCAAAAAAATGAAAAGAAAAAAGAAGCAGCACAATACTACGGTGTATTCTAGTTTAACATTTATAGTTTTATTTCTGCAAAAGAATGTTTACTGTGGTTTGTAATGGACAGGTTACATTTTCACCACATTTTTTCAGTTTATTGCTTTTAAAGTAGAGTAAAAATCAGGTTAAGGTTCTGCAGGCTTTAGCTGTGAGCAGATTTGTGTGCTTGAGAAGGCAAGCAGGGGCTTCAAGCTGTCGAGCATGGGCCCTTGTTTGTCAAAGTCTGCCTAATAACTTCATTACACAGGCTCCTCCTGCTTTTTGAGCTTTCATATGCTAGCTCTTCCACCTCCATGAAGAAGTTACTTCTCACTTTGAAATGTAGCATTAGTCTATTTAGTAAGGTCTTAAGGCAGTAGCCTTTGCTTTTTGCATTCCAGGGTACTGCTGTTACGGTGTTTCAGATCACACACACACACACACACACACACACAAAAAAAAAAAAAAAAAAGGGGTAGTTGGAAGCCACTGTTATAATGCCAAAGCTCCACGAGGAGAGACAAATCCCTTTGGGGTTGTGTCAGGAAGGAAATCTGGCATAAAACTCTGCCAAAGCATCACACAATATGGTTTTGGCTCCTGAAATTATGTTCCCATACAAGTAAAATTAATTTGCAATTGCATTTTGTAAAGCCTTTGAAAACATCTTTTCATTTTCAGACCATCAATCAAAATCAGTTGTAAAGCAAAACATCTCTTTTTTGTAAACAAAACCAAGTAGTATTTGCACCTACAACCAACCACTGAATAACAACAGATCTTAATAGGTAACTAAGTGGAAAGACCCTGCTTTCACTGACTAACTCCTGGATATAATTTTCCCACTTGCCAGCCTGCCTCCTTATGCCAACTTTGAACATCTTGCAAAACTGCACAGTGTCTTGTTGGAGAAATTTTAAGTTGTCCATTCCAGTTTAGCTGTAAGGGAACAAAGGTTTTTAGAAGACCAGGTTGCACACTGAATAGGTACAGTATGAATACAATTATTACAAAAACACACAATTTGCTGCTTTAGTGTCCTGACAGATGTAATGGAATATTAAGCTTGGATTCAAGTCCAAGCAACAAAAACACAAAACAATAATAAAATAATAACATTACAGAGCAGCTGTTGTTGTGCAAAGGAAAAAGAATATCTTCCAATGTTTATTACAACCTGTGTTCACATAAATGTAAGAAGTCTGGTTGTTGTAGATTTTTAGCAATGACCTAACGTCATAACCATCATGTAAACATTTTCTCTACATGGTGTAAGGGACTGGGGGACTTCGGCTACAGAAAGCTACAGTTTTAAATGCATTTGCTTAACTGAGGTTTGAACAGGGTTTGTACAACAACAAAGATTCATGACTAAAAATGAATAGCTAGTGTTAGAACGTATACACACATGGACACTTGTAACCAAAAACCAAAAGGCAGACTAAAACCTCTAACCAGTCTGATTAATTCATCTACACAAGCTAAACAGGAGGGTTTTTGTACACTCTTGAAACAGTATCCAAATGCTCAGCTCAAAAAACAAAACAAGAAAAAAGAAAAAACTGACTGCAATGCTTTAAATTTAGTTAGCAATGCTAATACTCTCAAAACACTACATTCAGTTTTAATTTTCCATTAGGAGGTAGGGGAGAAAACCAACAATACCAGCATATAAATGCAGGTTCTCCAGCAACATTGATGCAGTGCATGTAAACACATTCTGATTTCCTGCCATTACCTGATGTCTCCGAGGAACAGTTTGTGAATGGAGAAGTAATTAACCTAAGCAATATGTAATAAAACTCCTTGTGAGGCATTTTAGACTAGAAAATAGACCTGCTTACTCAACTACTCTGTAACTACCATTTTCCCACTTTTCTAATTTCTGCTCGTCATGAATGTCACAACAAGAATTGGATAACTCAAAGTATAACTTCCACAGATTTTGCTACATCATACAATATTTTGACAATTTCTGCCAAAAAAAGAAAAAAAAGAAAAGAAAAATGATATCAGTAGCATTCTGAGAATGCGAAATGTACTTGTCAATAGAGACAAAACTGTTGGAATTAAAATAAAGAGTTTAAGACTAAATAGCACATGTTTTTAAGTGTTTTGTTCTTTTAAAATCAGTTTCTATACATCTGACAGCTTGTAAAGGCCTCAAGTGAAAGGAAAGTTTTATAGCATAGAGGAGAATATGGCCCCACCCAATCACCCCATTATGGCCTGTTCAGCTTCATAACAGCTGAGACTGCAAAAAAATTAAAATAAAATAAAAATAAAAAAAGGCCCATCTTGAGTCCTGGCTATGAGCTATAGAAATCCTGCCATGAGTAAGTAAAATTCTCATTTACATAAATTCATAGCTGCTAAGGCATGAGTATACTAGTCATGAATGTGCATGCAGATGACTGTGCGTCACTTGTAAAGGCAGGCAGATATAGTCAAGCTACTAATAACGTTAATGCTTTAGGGTCTCTTAACTGTGCAATGATTATAGCTGGAGCAAATATCAGCCAGCTGAATTTGAATTATTTTACGGGAAACATTAAAGAGAATAAATCAGGTACAGCATCTACCCTGTAAACATAAGCCATGTTTACAGGCATCTGAAAATGTTTAACTTTTTTAAAAATAAAATGTAATTTAAAAGCAAATACACGTAACGAGTACTCAAACAGGAATGTTATGGAGTGCTGAAATATTTGTAGGAAATACTGGAATAATATCAGCACCCACTGCAAAGTTATGCTGTGATGGCAAGGGGAAGATGACTGTTTAGAGAGAATGCCAGTCACGTCTGAGCTTTAGATAGAGAAGAAGCTGACCACGTCCAGTTTCTGGATTTTAGCTGACAGCAGCAAATCTGGTGGCGGTGTGGGGCAAAGGCCAGTAGCTTTGGTGAGGCTCCAAAACCATAATGGAGGATAGGATTGTGAGGTCTCCAGCGTTGTCCTTTACTTATTAGGAAGTCATGGTCTTCGTGCCCACTACATGCTCTTCATCTATAGCTTTTAACACAGAGACCTGAAAATGGAAAGGAATTAAGATCTGGGTCCAGTATTCTCACATCACCTTGATTTTTATGTATATATTTTATGCAAATATGTTTGATCCAGTATGGCATGATGACTTATCAAATTGATAGGCCAGGACATTTCTACCACTAAAACATGTTAAAGTACACTAGTACACTTTAAAATAGCACATAAAAGTGTTCTAGACTAACGTAAGGAATTTTTCTTAATTATTACATTATTAAAATGGACACTAAGTAAATATAGTGAAGACAGCAGAGTTCATTTATGACTAAATGAAATGCAATATATCAGAAAATATCCAAATAAATTTGCTTCTAAAATTTATTTGGATTTTAGAAAAAAAAAATTTTTTCCAGGACACAGGAACTCACCATAAACTGGTCCCCGTTAGTGAACCTCCTCTCAATCTCTTTTCCCAGGTCATTGTCTGGCAATTTAAGGTCCTCTCTGGTTTCTCCGTTGTCATCCATCAGAGCCAAGAAACCATCAGCCACATCAATTACCTAAATTTGCCATTATAAACAGAATGGAAGAGGTTAATAGTTTAGGAAATCATAAGAGTGATTCAAGTACTTTTTCCTATTGCAATTGCTGTAAACATTAATTTTAATGCTTTCTTCATAACACTGTGGTGATTCACAACAACAGAAAGCATTTACTGTGAAGCAGCAATACACAGAACATTGTGGTTTAGATCAATAACAAAGCCCTAAAAACAAGAAAACGTTTATAAAAATAAAATTAAAAGGAGGCAGTATATATTGAAACTTGACTTTAGGTTCAGACTGGGCAATATGACCTCAAATCAAAAATCACAAATTAATTGAACATTTTACCCTCATTCTAATTCATGAATATTTTTTTTTATATGTAAATATGTTGAACTACTAAAGCTGGGAGATTTTTTACACTATTATAACTGTGCCTCTAAGTGTTGTAGCTGTATATTGCAGTGGTTTCACCTAAAATATTAAAAGAATGTCTTTTGTCACTATACACATGAGATTCTCCTACCCAGTGCAGACATGTGGGAAAAGAAGAAGGGGGGGCACTATAAACATATGAACAGTCCTAATTCAAAAAAATATCCATTATACAAATATACAAATTAGGGCTGTGCAATATGTCCCAAAATGTCCCAAAATCTCATATAAGACATTTCTCATCCCGATAACGACATGCCACAAAATAGTGCATTTTCTGTAAATTCTGCGAATCTCGGGGAATTCTATTTGTGTGAAGTGTTTTCAGTTGGCCGTCGTGTACCTGGAGTCGAGTGTTTTGACTGATCCATGAAACTGCTGGGGGGAAAAGCCTTTTCTCAAGTTTGAGTCTAAGGTTTATTTTGAGCACCTAATGACTCTTGTTTTGCTTCTCATCTGTAAACTCTCCACACTCTTACACATGAGTCTTGCGTAGCTAGTAGAAGTGGTTTGTCGTGTTTGAGTCTGTGGTGGGGACTGGTTTGCATTTTAATTTCAACATCTGATATATTTCGTCATATCGCACAGCCCTAATACAAATATTGGGAAAAAA